GCTTATTTATTTTGTTTATTGTCTATCTGTACTAGAATACAAGCATCACTGGAAAGATTTTCTTCTCTATTCCTTTTTATGACCTCTTAGCTATATGCCTGAAAGACAGTAGGCATTAAGTAAATATATTTGAATCAGTGAATGAATACCCTTTACTGATAACTGGGGGTTGATGAAAATCCCATAGTTCTGTAAAAAGAAAATAGTGATATGCTTCTTATGTGATATATTTTTATAATTCCTAAGGACATTGGAACATACCAAAATTCCTCTTGAAAACTTTTTCTTTTAGATTTTAAACTGTTATAGCATCCCATATCAGCTTTATAATCAAAATGTAATAATCTCAATATTCCTATCACAAACTATTTTAGAAGAACTTATCTCTATTCAAGGATTATAATTCTTTAGAAATTGTCATTTTATTGAAAATGAAAACTTGGTTCCTAAACTTACTCCATCAATATTTCTGTAATACACTATGGTTGTGAAAAAAAAAAATAAATAAATAAAATGTAAAATAAATAAATAAATAAATAAATAAATTTGATTGTAAATTACTTGGGACAAAATAGAGTAGTTATTTTAGGATTAAGATGGAATGACATTTTCAATAATGTATAACATTTTGACTTATAAGAAACATATAAATTCCATTATATTTCCTTCTGAAAAAGATCATTTTTCTAACAAATGTCTACATATTAAATACAGACTAAAACTGGTTTTGCATATTTGATTTTTAGAAAGTTAAAAAAGCTATCCTACCTCTTCATGTATATAGCAGCTTTGATTTTATTGGACAGTTCAATATTCTTAGAAGCCAGCTGACTTCTAACTTTCATTTCTTCTTTATTATATATTACAAATAATTCTCATTTCTATCAGTTTATTCCCATCCATTATCCAGAATAACACCTGTGACTGGGATTAACTTTATCACGGCTCATAAATAAAAGCAGAGTTGCCTACAGTTGGCATACACATATGCTAATCTAATTTAGAATACAGTCACAAAGGTCAACCTTCTTTCACTGCCAAAAAAGCCAATATGCAAGCCAGTAAGTGAGTACATCTTTTTGAAGTATCAAAAAAAAAAAAACAAATGAACATAATCATAATAAATAATTAATATTTTGTACTAACATGTCATGGTCTAAGCAGAAACGACATAATCAGACTTGAATTTTAGGAAAATCATACCAGGATGATTTTAATAAATGAAAACTTTTGAACCCAACCTCTTTCACTCTTACCATAACAAGAGAACAAAGAGAACTAAGTTCCATTACTTTAATTGGAGGCAGATAAGATGGATTGGAGCCCAACAGCCATCTTAATACATTTCTGGGATGGTTTCTTATTTCAGAGGCTAGAATTCTGCATTTCTCTACAAACTCTCGCAGCTACAGTTCTGTATATGATTTTGGCTCTGCCAATCAGATACATTGTCATGACATTCGCATGATTAATGTGATGTGGAGGCTACTTATGCTGCTTTTTTTTTTTTAATTTCTACTTGCAAAGACCATCACATGTCTGGTTTTCTTTTGCAGCACTAACAGAGATATTAATATGTGGTCACTTGATCCATGAGTAATAATTATAAGAGTTGTATAGGGTATTCAATTTCCTAGTGACTTTTTGCAGGTAAGTTTTGGAAGCTGCAGTTGTAACAGTGCCTCCCTGATCATGAGGATTTTCTGAGAATGGCTTTTTGACAAAGTTTTCTGATCTTGCTGTGGCCTCCTTATTTTGGTTATATGGCACAGCATAACTCTAGAGCTGGGATATGTAGTGGAAGATTTCTAATTTTCTTAGTCAAAGAATATTACCTCCCATTGTGACTCTGTTCTTCACTAACGTCCTTTTGAAAGCTTAACATAAATTTCTTAAGCTTAACCAATGACTTTTAAAGCCATTAAATACACTGCAACATATCTTCCTGTGCTTAAAATATCTAAATATCCTTATTCATCCAAAATATAAGAAACTCCCACTAAACAAGCTAAACCAGATAATTTTATTTTAAAAAATGGACAAATGATGCACCTAGATAATTTTCCAAAGAAGAGATATGAATGGCCAACAAGAAGAGAAAAAGGTGCTCAACATCACTAATCATAAGAGAAATGCAAATCAAAATGAAAATGAAATAGCATTGTGACTCTATTAGGATGGCCACTATCAAAAGAACAGGAAATGAGTACTCACAAGGATGTAGAGGAATTGGAATCTTGTGGATTGCTGGTGGGAATATAATGGTGTAGCCATTATGCAAAATTATATAGAGGTTCCTCAAAAAATTAAAAATAGAGCTGCCATACGATCTGGCAATTTAACTTTTGGGTGTATATCTAACAGATCAAAGCAGTATCTCAAAGAGATATGTGAACACTTCTATTCATTGCAGCATCATTCATAAGAGCCAAAAGGTGAAAGCTACCCAAATATCCATCAACATATGAATAAACAAAATGTAACATATACATATAATGGAATATCACATAGTCTTAAAATGAAATCTTGTCAATGTTAAAACATGGATACACCTCAAGGTCAATATGCTGAGCAAGGTAAGTTAGTCACAAAAGAACAAACAGTATATGATTCTACTCATAGAGAGTGTATCTGAGTAATCAAAATTATAAAAACAAAATAGAAAAGTAATTGTGAAGTGACAGTGGGAGGGGAAGGGAGAATTAGTTTCTAGTGGGTACAGAATTTCACTTTTTCAAGAAAAGAAAGCTCTAAAGATCTGTTGTACAACAATGTAAATAAACTTAACATACTCAAGTATACACTTAAAAATGGCTGCCAGTTAAATGTGATGTTTTCTACAATGTAAGAGTTTACCTCTCTGAAACTGAACCCTGACTATTTTACATTGTCTGATGTTAAACCAAGTATCACGTAATAGCAAATACCATAACTGCTAGAATATTACAAAGGAAATGGATTTTATAGTCATCAATAATTAAATCACAGCTCTATCCTCAAGAAAGTTTCATCTTTAAGAGAAATAAATGCAGTAGATTGCAACATCCTCTTATCAAAGTTTACAAGGGACCACAATATGAGATTAAGTGGACTCAGTGATTTAAAAATGCCATTTGGCATCTCCAGCAAATAATATTTGGGTAAATTTGGAAAAACTCACCACTTGGATACATCAGAGTTTGTGTAGATTTCCGAAGAATCATGAGTCATTTCCAATGTGGAGAACATTTTCAAGGATTGGAGAATAACTGTACCTAAGTTTAGAGATATGAGAGAAGATATGAAAGCTCTCAATAAAAGAGATGACTGCTTTAAGCTACTTGTACTGTGAAACCAATAGTAATTAGATATTTCAGCATACACACAGCAAATCCAGCAAAAATCAATCTCTGACACAACTTACTGCTGTGTGGCTGGCTCGAGGAGGATAAAAGAATTTCCTTAAAATGATTCTCTGCCTAAATGAGAAAGGTGTATTCTGCCAATTTTTCATTCAGATGTCACATGAAAGGTATTGAGCACAGAAAAATTATTTTCTTGGAAGAGAAAGTATGCCCAATAAATTCATTCAAAAGCATATTCTTACAGGTCTTAACCTATTAGGACTTCTAGTCTCAGCTCTTTCTCTTTCACTTTAATCCTTCTGAATATTTGATGCTAAATCACATCAACAATATCTCTTCCAGGTTTAGTACTAAAAATAATGTTTTTTAAAAAAGATTTTAATAAAAGTGCCCAATCAAAAGGAGGTGCAAAAAGGAGAGGGAAAATCCACTTATTTTTAGGTGGAGAACACCCATTCAAACACAATAGAAAAAAAAATATGGATGCTACATAAATATTCTGTAATGTATAAGAAAACCATAAGAGATAAATAAGGAACACACTTTAGAAGATTTACTATATAAATAGAAATAATTGCTAGGTACTAGGTGGTTTAAAATATGAAGGAAAATTACACAGAACAAAAAAGAGAAAAGATGAGATAAAATTATATCTGAGATGAAAAATGAGCTGACATTATTGTTAAAGTCAGAGCCATATAATCGAAGCTATTAGAAACAAACAAAATAATGAAATTAAAATTTCAAAAATAAATCATTTTGATGAAATATTGGAGAAGCTATTTCTGAATATTAAAAAAGGGAAAATGAATTGAAACCAAGAGACTCAAGGAAGACAACAGGAAGATTAAAACACCCATACCTCAGAAAAGAAGAGAATAAGTGGAGAGGAAGAGATCAAGATGGCCAGCTAGGAAGACATGGAGCTCATATCCCTTCAAGAAAATATCAAAAATACATCTACATATGGAACAATTCTCACTTGAATCTAGAAGGACTCTTGTACAGTCAAGACCATAAGAAAGATACAGAAGTATTAATTAGAAAAGGAAGAAAAGATATTCAGTCAGGAACTGTGCATCTGGGAGGAGACACAAAGGGAGATCATAGGGTTTCATGAAAACCCACCCTAAGGGAGTGAGTCAAGGGTCCTACGTGGAGGAGAGAGGCACCCAGGGCCTCCAGCACAGAGAGAAAATCTAAGAAGCACTGAACTCTGTTCACAGGAGAACACACACACACACACACACACACACACGAGCTGTCCCCAAGGCAAGGCAGAGAAAAGAGAAAGGTCAACTGGAGCAGCTACAAGGCTTCCAGGACCCTCGCTGCATGCTCCAGCCCACGATGAGTGAATGCTCCAGCCCCATTCACCCCAGATCACGGTAAATCACGGGATCTGGGTCAGACAGGGCAGGGAACAAAGTCGGCCTGGGGACACAGAAGGGACCCAGTCCCGGGGCAGCCCGGGGAGAACAGTGACAGCAACTCTTGGCACTTACTCAAGTGGTGTCCCAGAAGCAGCCCAGATTTCTGATGGCGGAAGCTCTATCACAGCCCACCCTGGATACCTGCAGAGAAATCACATGGGCCTCATGCTCCCCCACAGGGCAGTTTCAGACAGAGTGAGAGCCGCAGAGGCTTGGGTCATCGATGAGCTACGAGAGGCACAGGTGCCTTGGCCCTGAGGCAGACTGGAAAAGGTCCACCCTGGTGAACGCCAGGTGTCCTGAGCACCTCGCCAGGTGCCCAGCCCAGACCAAGCAAATGCTCTGGCTCCACCCAGTCCTCATCATCGTCAGCCTGGGGTGGCCAGGACCGGAGACGAGACTCAACCAGGGGCTACGTCTGAGTGAAGCTCACGATGCCTACACGGGCAGCACGCTGGACCTCTGCAAGTGCAGAGGCCGCATTTGCCTAAGCACACCTTCCCTCTGAGGCAAAGAACCTGCTGTGGAAAAATAAATGACCCAATCAAAAAATGGGCCAAAGAACTAAACAGACATTTCTCTAAGGAAGACATACAGGTGGCAAAAAAACACATGAAAAGATGCTCAACATCACTCATTATCAGAGAAATGCAAATCAAAACCACAATGAGGTACCATTACACACCAGTCAGGATGGCTGCTATCCAAAAGTCTACAAGCAATAAATGCTGGAGAGGGTGTGGAGAAAAGGGAACCCTCTTACACTGTTGGTGGGAATGCAAATTAGTACAGCCACTATGGAAAACAGTGTGGAGATTTCTTAAAAAGCTGGAAATAGAACTGCCATATGACCCAGCAATCCCACTTCTGGGCATACACACCGAGGAAACCAGATCTGAAAGAGACACGTGCACCCCAATGTTCATCGCAGCACTGTTTATCATAGCCAGGACATGGAAGCAACCTAGATGCCCATCCGCAGACAAATGGATGAGGAAGCTGTGGTACATATACACCATGGAATATTACTCAGCCATTAAAAAGAATTCATTTGAATCAGTTCTAATGAGATGGATGAAACTGGAGCCCATTATACAGAGCGAAGTAAGCCAGAAAGATAAAGACCATTACAGTATACTAACACATATATATGGAATTTAGAAAGATGGTAATGATAACCCTATATGCAAAACAGAAAAAGAGACTCAGATGTATAGAACAGACTTGTGGACTCTGTGGGAGAAGGCGAGGGTGGGATGTTTCAAGAGAACAGCATCGAAACATGTATATTATCTAGGGTGAAACAGATCACCAGTCCAGGTTGGATGCATGAGACAAGTGCTCAGGCCTGGTGCACTGGGAAGACCCAGAGGGATCGGGTGGAGAGGGAGGTGGGAGGGGGGACCGGGATGGGGAATACATGTAAATCCATGGCTAATTCATTTCAATGTATGACAAAAACCACTGCAATGTTGTAAGGTAATTAGCCTCCAACTAATAAAAATAAATGGGAAAAAAAAAAAAGAGAACCTGCGGTGAGGAGAGGGGAAACCCACACATAAAGGGAACGGAGCCATCTCCAGCCTGAAGCTCAGGGTTTCTGCTCCAGCAAATCGGGGTCAGATGCTGTGTACGACAGGGCGGTGATGGCCACAGAGTGGAGAGGAAGTTCCACCTCAGTCATGGTGCCAGCTCCTCCATCTCCAGTCCAATGCCCTACCAACGTGACAACTGCCAGCACAACCTGAGGAAAGATGTGACTGGCAACCACCTCAGATCAAGCCATCCCACCAAAGGAATTGAGCACGTGTGGTTTGCATTGAGTCACTCCCACATTAAAGCACGCCTTGAAGAGCACAATAGGTAATGCTTTTTTTTTTCTTTTTCCCTGCCCCCCACCCACCGCCCACCTCGTTCCCCAGGTAACTCTTTTATAAACTCATAGAGAAAGAGAATATGTAACATTTTAACAAGGAACTAGAAAATATAAAAAGTCCCAATAAAAAATAAATAATTCAACACCTGAAATTTAAAAAACAAGAATGCACATACACTAGAATGAATGAACAGCACACCAAGTGATACAGAAGAATGCAATATGTGATCTGGAAGACAGAATAATGGAAATCACCCAATCAGCAGAAGCAGAAAAAAGAACAATTTTAAAAATGAAGTGACTTAAGAGATGGCTAGGATAACATTAAGTATTCTAACATTTACTTAATAAGGGTTCCAGAAGGGAAGAGAGAAAGAAGGGGATCAAAAATGTATTTGAAGAAATTATAGTTGAAAATGTCCCACACCTGAAGAAGGAACTATATCCTGGTGCAGGAATCACAGAACTTCATAATAAAGTTGAAGCAGGAGCTAGATGGACCTCAGAGTGAACAGCTGATTCTCTGTTGTGGACAGATGCTCCAAAATAGCAGGAGAGATGAGTTGAGCCCTGCTCAGATAAAAGACAGAAACTACATATTTTTCATTCTCAAAATCAGGAAAACCTTTCAACTGTATACATGTGCATAAAGGCTCCTTGGAAGTCAAAAGGGAGGGAGTGTCACCTCATAGTAAATGATATCAACATACCATAGGCCTTTTTGCTAGAATCCATCTTGGCTAAGGATACACGCTCAAAATGGGAGGATACTGAGATTTACCAAATACAGATTCAGAACCAGGCAAAGCAAGATGACTGGCCAAAGGAAACCTGGAATAAATGCCTCATAAAAGTGATTCAGGCTACCACACAGGCGCAGCTCTCTCTCAGAGCCCACCCTTGTGTCTATTCATAAGTACCGTAGTCTTTTTTTTTCCTGCTAATGAACACTTTACTCGTTTGACTACCTTCCTTCTTGGTGGGAAATTTTTCTGCCAAGTCAAAGGGTTAGGGCCTTGTCACTGATCACTGGTCTAGTGGCTAGGATTCAGCTCTCACTGCCAAGACCCTACCTCAGCCTCTGAATGGGAACCTAAACACGGCTTCAGCTGCTGCAGGTCCAGACTACCTGAGATCAAGATGAACTCCTCCCTCCACACACACACACACAAAATCCACATCAAGATGTATCAAAATTGAAAGAAAAAAAGAGACAATTCTAAAGGTAGTGAGAAATACAAAGAGTAATATACAAAGGAGTTACCACAAGATTATCACCTGATATTTCTGCAAAACCTCTGAAGAAGAAGGGAATACCATAATATACTCAGAATGCTGAAAGTGGAAAACCTGCACCTAGGATTCTCTTCCCAGCAAGATTATTGTTTAGTATAGAGGAGAGATAAAGAACCTCACAGACAAGAAAAAACTAAAGAATTAATCAATATTAAACATACCCCCAGAGGAATATTGCAGGAACCTCCCTAAATGGAAAAGGAAAAAAAAGTATAAAATATATAAAATGTATTGTATATAAAAACTTTATATAAATTTATAAATATATTTTATATAAATATATGAAAAGTGAAAAATACCACTAGGAAAGGCAAATCTGTATAAAGATTAAAGACCACTTAAATAAGCCAGTAGGTAGATTAAAAGACAAAGTAATGTAAAAATCAACTATAACTAAAACAAACAGTTGAGGGATAAGTGAAGTGAAGTGAAGTGAAGAAGAGAAGTCGCTCAGTCGTGTCTGACTCTTTGCGACCCCATGGACTGTAGCCCACCAGGCTCCTCCGTCCATGGGATTTTCCAGGCATGAATACTGGAGTGGGTTGCCATTTCCTTCTCCAGGGGATCTTCCCAGCCCAGGAATCGAACTCAGGTCTCCCGCATTGTAGGCAGACACTTTACTGTCCAAGCTACCAGGGATAAGTAGGAAGATGTAATCCAAAACACAAACTGTGAGGAATGGGAGTGAAAAAAAAAAATACAGATCTTTTAGAATGTGTTTGAACATAAATGACTACTAGTTTTAAAAAAGGGTCACAAGGCTGGTTCAACCAAAGAAATACATGCTCAGCATGTTTACTTTTTAACTCAGGGAAGACAGATAACAAAAAAATGCATAATTAAATCCTACAGAATACTGCTGCTGCTAAGTCACATCAGTCGTGTCCGACTCTGTGCGACCCAATAGACGGCAGCCCCCCAGGCTCCCCCATCCCTGGGATTCTCCAGGCAGGAACACTGGAGTGGGTTGCCATTTCCTTCTCCAATGCATGAAAGTGAAAAGCGAAAGTGAAGTCACTCAGTTGTGTCCAATGCTTCGTGACCCCATGGACTGTAGCCTACCAGGCTTCTCCGTCCATGAGATTTTCCAGGCAAGAGTCCTGGAGTGGATTGCCATTTCCTTCTCCAACAGCATACTGAGATGTGACAAATACCATAGGAAAAATAAAATAGGGGAGCAGGTTGGGAGGGCAGGGGATGGCAATTTATTAAAACAAGGGCCTGGAAATTTCTGCGTTTGCAGCAACATGGATAGACCTAGGGAATATTATGCTTAGTGAAATAAGCCAGACAGAGAAAAACAAATACTGTAGAACATCACTTATATGTGGAACCTAAAAAGTAATACAGATGAATGTATATACAAAAACAGACTCAAATATATAGGAAAAAAATTAGTGTTACCAAAGGAAAGGGAAGGGGTGGAGTACAAACCAGGAGTGTGGGAATTAAGAGATACAAACTACTATGTATACAACAGGTGATCAGCAAGGCTACATCATACGGCACAGGGAATTATAGTCATTACCTTATAATAACTTTTAATGAAGTATAATCTGTAAAAATGCAAAAATCACTATGCTAAACACCTGAAACTAATATTGTAAATTAACTGTACCTCAACAGAAAAAAAAATTCTTTGATACTAAAAAAAAAAGATTAAGTGGAAAAATACATTTCAAAAATCTAAGGAAGAAAAGAAGATGAAATCCCTGAATCTCTAACTGGCAAGAGTTCACGAAGGCAGGGATTATTATGAAAAAGTTATAACAGGACTTCCACTTTGCTTTTCAGCCTCTTAGAAGCTGTCACTCCATCCTAACAACAATCAAAATGATGAAGAACCTGAAAAAGCAAAACTTAGATCTCTGAAAGGAGGGCTGGGAGCAGGAACACAGGAGAAACCATGTGCTCTCACACTGCAGATATCCACAACTAAATACAGAGAATTACAGCTCACCAGGGCTTCCCTGGTGGCTTAGCTGGTAAAGAACCCTCCTGCAATGCAGGAGACCAGGGTTTGATCCCTGGGTTGAGAAGATGCCCTGGAGAAGGGAAAGGCTACCCACTCCAGTATTCTGACCTGGAGAATTCCATGGACTGTATAGTCCATGGGGTCACAAAGAGTCAGAAATGACTGAATAACTTTCACTTCACTTCACAACTTACCAGAGCAGAAAACCACCAGCTGAAACTTCCATAAGAACTAGCCATGCAGTAATAAAGCCTGAATTGACATTGATGCATTACTGGAAGTCAACTGTGGGCAACCTTTTGTGTTAAATACTCTAGGAAACCCAGTCAGAGAGGAACTTCCACAATTTGGTCAGATTTAC